CCGTTTTCAGATTTTTGGATCCAAAATCGAGGGGTAGCTTCTATTCGGGGGTAGCTTCTATTCGGTAATATACGGTAGTCTGATTTTAATGATTTTACTACCATTAGACAAAAAGACCTGATGAACAACTTTTATTAAAATTGAAATAAGGTTCTCTTAATAACAATACCTCTTTCAGAGTATTTTTTTAATTTTTTAGATGATATTAGTAAAAATAGTGTAAAAATAGCAATTCCTTTAATATATTGACAAATATAACTTCTAAAAGAGGCATTTTGTAATGTTTGTTAATTAGTATAAGAGGTTAGTCAATAGAAAACAAGAAAATATTTTTAATAAATTTTTTAAAACTTTAAACAAAGATAGCTTAAAAACTTAATCAAATTTAATAAAAAAATTTTTAAATTAATTTTACAAGTTTATAATATTTAAGAAAATTACTGTTTAAAGTTATAAAAAAATTTTTTAAAAAATTTCTTGTTTACTATTGACTTACCTACTACTTACCCATATTAATAATTAAAAATTTAAATTAAATAAAATTTATTAAATTTAAGGACTTTTCTATATATCTCTGGCTAGAGATATATAGCTTATATATCTCTGATCTTTTTGGCCAATCAAATAACGAAAGGATCACATGATTAAAGTTCATGTGTTGATCTGATTGCCAATGCAAAACCAGACATATCCGGATAGATAAGTATAGATCATCTTTGATCTGTTTTTATTTATTTGTTTTTTTTTCACTTGCCTTTTGCTTTCTTCACGACTAAATTTTTTTATTTTTATTTTTTTATCTATTTATTTTAGCTTATTTTTCTTCGTTGTCACTATTGTTGCAGTTGGTGTTGTCGCTAGTGACATTGTTGGTGCTGTTGTTGGTGTTGTTGTTATTGAAGTCGTTGCCATTGGAATCATCATTGGTGCTTGTGATTTCATTGTGGTTTTCGCACTTGTAGCTTTAGTGTCATTGAGGTTTGTAATTTCACTATAGTTTTGGTGTTATTAATACATTGTAGCTTTTTTAGTCATTGGTGCTTGTAATTTTAAGTGTGTTGGAGCTTGTGATTTCGCCATGGTTAGATGCTTGTGGTTTGTTGTAGTCTTTTTGTCACTGGTTCTTATAATTTTGCTATCATTTAGTGCTTGTGGTTTTGTCATAGCTCTCAACATTGTGGTTTTCGGTATTATTAGTGTTTGTGCATTGCCAGATCTGAGTAAATCATTGATTTATATATATATATATATATATTACTTGCCTTTGCTTTCTTCGCTTTCCTTGCTAACTAAATTTCTTCTCTTTTTGTCGATAGTGTTGTCATTTGTTGGTGCTTTTTTTATCTTTGAGTCATTTTTGCTGTATGCCATATCATGCTGTATAGTTACTTATATCGTGTGTAAGAGAATGGGCTTAGAGTTAGAGTTATAATTAGGGTTAGTTATATGAGTTTAGTGTTAGTTTTGTTGTAATAAATATGAATGAAATAAATGTAAAATAAATTATTTTAATAAATTAAATGACTGTATAATTTATAGTTTTAATAGTATTTTAATAAAAATTTTCAAATTTGATCAAGTGGGTGCTATGAAATATTCAATCAAAGTGTTAAAAATTTTGCGCAGTTTCTATATAATAGAAGTTTAAAAATTCTCTAAACCTTTGATTGAAAATATCTTGACACCCACTTAATCAAATTCAATAAAATATTTTTTATTCAAATTCTACAGATTTGTAGAATTTGAATAAAAAATTTTTATCAAATTTGTTCAATTGGGTGCCAAAATATCTTGGCACCCACTTGATCAAATTTGATAAAATTTTTATTCAATTCTACAGATCTGTAGAATTTGGATAAAAAATTTTTACTGAATTTGATCAAGTAGGTGCCAAGATATATTCAATCAAAGTGTTAAAAATTTTGGCACAGTTTAAAAGTTCTCTAAAACTTTGATCGAAGATATCTTGGCACCTACTTGATCAAATTCAATAAATTTTTTTTATTCAAATTCACAAATCTGTAAAATTCGAATAAAAAATTTTTATTGAATTTGATCAAGTGGGTGCCAAGATATCTTCAATTAAAGTGTTAAAATTTTGGCGCAGTTTAAAAGTTCTCTAAAACTTTGATTAAAGATGTCTTGGCACCCACTTGATCAAATTCGATAAGATTTTTTTATTCAAATTCTACAGATCTGTAGAATTTGAATAAAAAATTTTTGCCGAATTTGATCAAGTGGGTGCCAAGATATCTTTGACCAAAGTGTTAAAAATTTTGGCGCAGTTTAAAAGTTCTCTAAAACTTTGATCGAAGATATATTAGCACCCACCTAATCAAATTCGGTGAAACATTTTTTATTCAAATTCTACAGATCTGTAGAATTAGGATAAAAAATTTTTTACCGAATTTGATTAGGTGGGTGCTAATATATTTTCGATCAAATTTTAAAAAATTTATAAATTATAAATTTTTGGGGAAGGCCGAAGGTTCAGGTTACACGAACTAATCCGACTATCCGGGAAAATCACGTAATCGTGCGGTTGAGTCGGAAAATGGGTCACGTGACTTTTCGCCATTTTTATTGGCTAATAGGCCAGAGATATATAATCTATATATCTCTGGCCAGAGATATATAGAAAAACCCATTATAAAAATATTAAAAATTATAATTAAATAAATATAATTAAAGCATTTTCACAATATACTGTACAGTATTTATAATACAAATTTAATATTATTATTTTACCAAAGATTATAAATAAGTAAAAATAAATATTTTTACAATATATTAGAGAAATTTTATATAAATAAATAACAGAATATATTATTTTTCTATCTTACTTTGCTAAAGAACTGCTACAATATAGAATTTATTAATATTATTTATATCAATAAATTTTTAATAATAAATATCTAATATTTATTTTTTTTTAACTTCAATTTTCCTTATAATAAATTTTAATATTATATATTTTATTTATATGTTAATAATTATTTTTATCTTTTTAATTCTAATTACTAAGTACAAATCTTGTTTCTATTATATTAATTATTTATATACAACATTTTTCTATGCAATTAACTCTACTATTCCAGTATGTCAGAGTTGGTAAATGACCTCAGATAATCTCAGATGACTCTAGTATATGATAATTTTAATATAAGTTTCATATACTAAATAGCCTAGGTTATTTGAAAAAATGGCAAATGACTACAAAATTTGCCATTCCAGCGAGATTTGGGTTCAGGTCAAATCAAACCTGAGCTTGAACCTAAACTCTAACTAAAAATTTTGCAAATCTCGAACCTGAATCTGAACTTAAACACAGAGTTGCTGAGCCTGAACCAGACTTGAATATGATTATTAGCACAGTTTGGATTCAGTTCAAAGTTCGTGAACAAGTTCAGGTTTAGGCCCTACATAATAATTTAAAAAAGAACAGTTAATTTTATTCTTTTTAAATTAAAGACTGGATTGATCAAAAAGCATTTAGCAATGTGCTTTGCAAATGTACTATACAATAAATCAGCACAAATAAAAAATTTAATAGATTATTTCAAATATTTCAATTAATAAATAATAATGACTGAATTGACTTGAATATGAAGAAATGACTTATTTTAAATACATCTACTATTATAATCATTACTACTAAATCAATTAAATAAGAAATCAAATTAAAATTTGACTAAAATCCTATTATCAGTTATGTATTTCCGGGTCATTAAATTATTCCTAGGAAACCTATAAAAAAATTAGCCAAAAAATTTTTCGGTTGATATAATATATACGTCTAAATTACATTATTGTTCTAATTTCAAAAATTACTATAATAAATATAATACCTGTTCTACGTACGTACAAATAATTTTATTATTATAATGTCAACATTATTAAAATTTCATTTGAACACTTGCCCAATATGTTTAGTGTGTTTAATTTGTGCAAAAGTTTGTAGAAAAAATTGTTCTTGTCAACCAATAAAACTTAACAATAAATCTAAAAAAGGATCTGGATGTCAAATTAGCTTTTATAGTAAATATTTTACACGAATAGGTGCTAGTATTAAAAAAGTTAGATACAATCAAGGATTTGTCGATTGGACTAAAAATTCAACTAAAGTCGAGATTCCAAAAAATCAAGACTTAATTAATGTGTGTCAAAAATGCGCTAAAAATTATGATCACAATTAAAGCGAAACAGTAGAACTAACAATTAAAGATTCTCTAATACTTTTGAATTATTCGACTTGTCTGAAGTGACTACAACTGATTTAGAAATTAATAGTGAAAAAGATCCTGAATTGGATATTATTAACATGAAGGAACCTGAATCATGAGCTATTAATATGAAAGAGCTTTTTATAAAATTGTTAAAAGTTTATAAAATAAAAATATATATAAATATATGAAATATTACCTTTTTGTATGTATATCCAAGTCGGTGCTTAGCTTTCCATATTGTTGTAAGAAAGTTCTATCTCAGATTGTAATTTATACAAGTACTAGTCAGGTTTTTCTTTTATAATTTATTTCATTCATGTTTAAATAACGTGGTTTTCCCAAAGCGATGGAAGTTTTTCAATACAACTATATCTTTGAAAATGCACAAGAACCTGACTTATAGAAGACCTGCTAACGCCTATACATGGGTGCCTAAATTGCCCATCTTAATAAAAAAGTAATTATGGCATTTAGGCAGCCGAAATTAGTCTTATATAGTGCTGAAATTAATTTTCATATTTGCCGAAATTATTGCCGAAATTTTTTGAACTCTTTTCATCAAAATACACCATACAATATAGTTATTTCGAAGGGTTTCATATAAAAAATTTGGCAATGCCGAAATGTTTGCCGAAAATGTGATTTTTTAAAAATAATTTAGACACCCATATATACCAACGCCTAGGTGTTTTGCAATTTTTCGAGTTGATAGGCCTTCTAAAATTTTTTCAATAGTTTGCCAGTGATATGTGGTTTGAAAATATTATTCAAGAAATATGAATAATTTTTTATTTATATTAGCCACCTATAACAATTTTTTTATCGATATATATATTGATAATCGATGCAGATTTTAGATCTTTTTTAAACATATCTACGTAGCGATAGACTTTTTTTTTTCTATTACGCGTTATATACCTACTATTATTTTATTTAGCAAGCACTTTACAAGAACATCACACTGAATTCTTTGAATCTCTTTGGTAATAACCTTTGGGTGGAAGAAATCGTTAGCAATTGCACTGGCAAAACACAAACTGATGACTTGCAAGAACACTAGGAAAAAGGCATTTGTAGATAAATTTTGTATAGGCTTTTTTGAATCTTGCTAATAATAACTTTGGTTAGAAAGAAGAAAAGCATTAGCAGGTATGTTTTGCAAGAACATCACGCTGTTTTTTTCTGTAATAATTTTGATCAGAAGAAGGAAAAGAATTACAGATATACTTAGTAAGAACGTCATGATGCTTCTTTAAGTTTTCTGATATTAAACTTTGGATTGGAAGGTGGAAAATCATTAGCAGTTGTATTTACAAGAACACCACTCTGCTCTTTGAATCTTTCTAGCATACAAAAACCTCATTTCCAACTTAATAGGAAATCTTCTGAAGGTTGTAGCCTAACCACTGCATGTTGACTTATAAGAGTTTTTTTTTTTTTTAATGAAATTTCTTATTTACTTATTTTTATGCAAAGGATTTAAAAGATATTATTGAATAGATATCCTTTAGCAAATTCGCATATATAAAATATCTTGCCAGTAATATTTTAAGGCAGTGTAGATTGACGGATATATTACAGGTTTGATCAAAAGAAGAATAAATGGAAAAAAAGATGCTTGCTTAAAAAGTCTTGATAATTCTATAAGTATATACGAATCTTAATTCACTATTAGTAATCTAATTTATTCTAATTATATTTTAGATTGAAAATTAACACAAACATGGGGTGATTCAGATATTGCAATTTATAGAATAACTAAGAATCCAAAAGATGATAGTTATAGAGTATGCGAAGTAGAAGGTATCCAAAAATTGTTAGACAATAATGAATTTGATTAAAATTCTAAAATAATTTATATTACTTAACTAATAAGCTTAATAAAATTTACAAAGCTAATTTAGATTTTCATTCCAGAAATATGATATGTTTAATTCGAGATAACAATAT